ACAGGCGGACTCCTTGGATCGAATCAGAGTGATCCTCAACGACACCAACTTGACTGACATCAACCAGCTCCCAGAGACATGATACCACTGAATGAAAACTGCCTTCAGTTTCATTCCCCTCTTTCTCTATCACTGGCCCAATAACATTATTGATCTGACCCGACCCTTCCTCCTCCCCATAACCACCGTGGAAGAGTTTGGAAGGACAAGGACGGACGTGGCATGAGGAGGTCATGTCCCTTTGTGTACATTATAAGTCATGGAACACACCGCGGATAGAGTAATGAAGAAGAACACTACTAAAAAAAAAAAAAAAAAATGTAAATAACTAAATGTCTGACTGTGGACGGAGGGAGCGGAAGTCCATCTTTGTGTGGGTCTGTCTGTGTCTTGTTTCTACTGTAGATATGACTGTCTGTATTAGCTCAACCAAAAAGGTTTGTCGTCTTCTAAAGCACTTTTCATCTGCAACTTCTCTCTCCAGGTAAATAGAAAACAAATGGATGCATAACCTTTCTCTTTCGGTTCTCAAAGCGGTTGATAATCGCTTCCTTGTTCCACTGGCTTGTTCTTTCCCTGTGTTTGTTTGTTTTTGTTTTGTTTTTTCCCCTCCCATTTCTGGCTATTTTTCTGTGGCGTTTTCCACCATGTTTTGGTCATTTCACCCTGTGCAACCTATGATAAAGACACAATGAAGGAACTAAAATACTTGCACATAACTTAACTGGGATAAAAAAAAAAAAAAAAAAAAAGGAACATAACACACAGCGAGCAATACCCTCCATTTCTTAAACATCCTCTACTCTTGCTTTGGTTTTTGCTCTTAACTTCTGACAGAAATCTTTTTTTTTTTTTTTTTTTTTTTTTTTTTTTAAAGCTGCAAAAATACAGTGAAGAAACATTGACATTAGTCATGTTCAAAGTTATGGGTTTTATTTTTTAACTTCCCACTTGTTTTTTGATTGTCAGGAAAACACTAGTTCAGAAAGGAAAGAAATAGTTGGAGGAGGAGAACAGAAGGATGGGTTGTCAACATTAAAATGTAAATGGAAAATAACAGATTTTAATACAGACTTTGCTCCTTTTATTGATTGCCTTTTTGAATTGACTTTCTTAATGAAATTCTAAAGCTCTTAAATGACAGTGGGCGGCTTTTAAACTATAATGGAAGAGCACACCATCACAACGCTGGCACAAGGTGTTTCTGTCCCATCGTTCCCAGTGAGGTCAGAGGTCAGGTTCAGGTTTAAGCCGTGCTCGAGGACACCTCAGGGTGGTGGGAGGTTTGGAAAAAACTAGCCTCTAACTAACAAGCCACCGTGCCACTCTCCGACAGGTGAAGAGTGGAGTCTTTGAAAAAGAAATTTTACCTGCCTGAGTAGGAAGTCACGACTCAAGGAAAACTGACTTTTCATATCTCTGTGAGTCACAAAGCGGTTCATTCATCACTACAAAATTGTTCTGCTGCGAAGCTTCTGGTGGATTTTTAGAAATAACCTGAAAGCGTCAGGGTCAGTGAGTTATGGACGCACCCCCTGAAAACGCAATCCAACATTCACACACACTCCACGCAGTGATTGGCGCAGGGTTTGAACTTTTCTTTTCTTTTTCACGTCGTACAAACGAGCATATTCGAGCATAATCCAATCCTAAGTGTCGACCAATCAAAGTTTTGGACAGTTAAAATGCCGCAAAGGTCTTGGTATGAACCAGAAACAAACCAGGGTGTCCGACGTGTCATCTAACCACGTCTAAAGGCGCAAGCGTTCATGTACCTTTTCACGAACTCTCTCGTCTTTTGGGTGTCTCTGTCGTCTCAACATGATAAATTGTACCAGAGGGAGAAGACAGAGAAGTTCAAACCTTGCCTACTATCACAGCTTTCACTGTAAAGGAAAGTTTCGCAAAATTACAAAAATCGTTGGATGCAGCAGAGGACGCAGATGAAAAGGGAGTTTCAGACTCTGTTAGATGATCTGACAAGGGCTTTGTTCGAAGCTTTGACTGATACTAAAAAATTGGATCTGAACCCCAGGGTGGCTGGGAGAGGCAGGAAGACACAGCAGCGACACTGGGACTTTTGGTGCATCAGTGTTTTGAGGTGTAAAACAGGGCTGCCCATTCCCCTGAAGACCTTTTTTTTTTTTTTTGTTTTTGAATGGAAAAAATAAATGCAAGAATATTCATAGGAAGTTGATTCTTGATCAGTTTGAGTATGTGGCTTCATGTACTGTGTCAGGTTTTTATTACATATTTGACCAATTGAGGCAACCACAACTCGAGAGGTAGTTCACTATCAGCTTCCAGCTGCCACTGTAGATCCTAGAAATTAATTAGTTTGATAAAAATGAGCCCAGAGAAATATGATTTTGAGTATTTATACGTAGAAAAACACAAACTACTGAGTGAAAAATTTGTCAGAAATGTTAAGCAATAGCACCAGAGAGATTGCACCAATTGTTGTGAAACTTTCTACTTTGCTTTGTAATGTACAGATAGAGAAAATGTATGATTTTTGAGAACCCCAATTAGTAGTTTCAGTGTTTTCAAACTAAGTATGTGAACCATCTCCCAGGCACTGGCAGCCACAGTGTGCTCTGAATAAAGATAGTGACTCAGAGTTCTGCGCTCATTTGAAACAGTTGGACACACCAGGCTGCAAACATGGTTTCATGGAAAATATGAGGCTGAATGAATTTTCTCCTGTTGTAAAAAAAAAAAAAAAAAAAAAAAAAAAAAATCCTCAAGGGGAGGGAGGGATTGTCTTTGCATTGCAATTCAAACAATATACAATATATATATATATTTACTGTACATGCATACAGCAGCATTGTATGGTTTAAGGACATGTTGATCACTGATTGTTTGTTTTTTTTTGACTTGCATGTATTACATTTCCTTATGTTGCATATGTCTATACTGTAGATATCTTGAGTTGATATTTATGATAGATTCATGCAATGTGTTATGAGATAGTGTGGATGTGTGGGCAAGCCAGCCTGAGTTGCACTGACAGAAAACTGTATGTCTTTTGGCTTGTATGATTGCGGGCTGACGGGTTGTGTTCGGCCACATACTGAGAACTGGTGAACTCAAAGTAGAAATTCCACAGTGTGAATCCCGGACACTATTTTCTCGGATGGCCTTATTGCATTGGCTTGGTGTGTTTTTAATTTTGTGACATTTAATTTAACGTCCCCCTCCATCACTGTAACAAATTTTACTTGCCGCCCATTTGGCATTAACGTGAGGGTTCCTCTCTGAAGATTCTCCCCAGTCACCGCAGACATTCACTCATTCACTGTGGTCATGGTCAAGAGTCGAATTTTATTGAATAATTTCTGATCTAACATCACTGGATTGTTTGCAAAATGTATGATGATACCCTAAAAATGATTGGAGCACATGTTAAAACGAGATGAATGAAGAGTGTGCTCTGAAAGCTCTCACTGTGTACTACTTACTACTTGGTTTTTAGTATAATTACAAATTCACTGCAAATAAAGCACATTCGAAGCCCAAATCTGTTTGTGCAATCTAAATATTAGGTGTAACTATTTGTTTTTGAAGAGGATGACCTGTGGAAATTTTTGTAAATTTTGTAACCCATGTTTACTGAAAACACAACTGTAGTCTTTTTAGCATCTATCCATGAAATTACACAACCTACAAAAATGTAATAAGCTGTAATATACCGTAAGTTCTTGCATCATGCGCATTGACAATAAATTACTTTAAAAGTTGTTTTCCGATAAATCAATATTAAAAATTCAACTGAAAAGTGAGATGAAGGAGCAATGACCTGAAATGTGGGGAAAAAAAAAAATATATAGTTTTTACACTTAATTATTAATTAACATTTTTGTTGCCACATAATAACTGACTCACGATTGCACAGTTTGAGCTTTCAGAGGCAGCTTTTATCGTTTCATCTCACTGTCATGAGCCAAAGCATTGTTCCGATATGTTCTTCATTCGATCTACACGAGGATTAGACTGAGATTTTCTTTTGATATTTAGCAAAAATTGCAACATTCAGTTTAAATTCCACAATCCAGTTAGATGGAGTTTCTTTAATATACTGATATTTAAGCGTTATAATAAATCAGCTAGAGGAGTTGCAGTTAGATTAATTTCTGGGTTCCAATTATATAATTTAGTTTTGATTACCAGTACTTTCAAGGGCTTTTATGCCATAGTGAAGGTTCAGTGCTGAGTATTGTCTGTTAGCGCTCCAGAAATGTCAGCATCAACACTCAGAAACTCGTATCAGTCGAATCCTAGTAATGTGTATACCTGAAATTCCACTTGTCACATTTTAAACTGTCCAAGAAGAAAAAGGAACTGTAATTTTACTCATACATGAAAGAGAGGCATGAGCAGCACGCTGAATGATGAATACCATGAAATTTAAACAATATTTGCTATAAAGTACTGCCCACTGACTTTGTGTCCTGACTTCCCTTCATGTTTTAACATCATGACACCGGAGGAGGATTCGTGTAACACGCATGGCCGTTTTTAACAAACCACTGGTTCTGCACATGCAGGCGCATTTTGAAAGATTTGTTAAGATGATTAGAATAAATCATAGATTTAAAACTTTGGTCACATATGCTCTTTTAGGACTTCACTGGAAAGCACATATTGCACGAATGACATCAGTCAGGGTACCACTCACAACAAGTGAAGAGATTATTGCAGACAATAATTGTCAGATGTATTGATTGAAAAATGGAAACAGTTTGATGAAACACACTTTTACAATAAACAAACTAAAAATAGATTTTGATGCAGGGACCCTCTAGAAGACAGATGGAGGATGAGGACCTGTCACAGCTGATCTTCTACCTAAGTGGTGCAAATTGGACAGTTGTCCACTTTCAGTAATCACAATCAGTAATCCAACCCTGCAGCAATCATAAATTGATAATTGACAGGATGCCCAATTTGTCAATGTTTATTTATTTAAGTCCATGGTGCTAAAATATCCGGTTAATATGATACTAAGAAGAGGGCCCCTGGGATCAGACACCCCCTGTCTCTCCTTCATGTTGGAAGAGTAACAATTTGTTTTGTTTATGGTTGTTTTGCATCTCATTTGTTAAACTGTCTAACAAGAAACTTCATATTAAGGCTCCGTAACCCCTGACACCTTGAGGCCCCTGGGCCTTTGTTCATTTGGGCCAGCCATTCATTTTTTAATTTTTTTTTTATCAAGGAAATGTACAGTAATTAAAGGTGATACAATGGCACAAAAAAACTAAATTTAAATGACACAAATACAACAGGTGAAAATAAAATGAATGAAAATGTAAATTGATAAATTCTTTCAAAACAATTTAAAAAAAAAGGACAGGGGTACATAAATACTCAAATAGTTATTTATTCAGTCGGGGGTCACAGGGAAAAAGTTTCTTGCCGGCCATTAATCCGTCCATGTGCACTGTGCTGGCGCTGTCACGGCACCTGTAAACCTGCAGGGGGCAACAGTCGCACAGAACCGCCGTCGAGAATTACCACGAAGAAGAAACGACTTTAGACGAAGGAGGGTGGAAAAAAAGCAGAGGAACTACTCCTGTTTACAACAACATAATGGAGCCAAAATGGTCAAATACCATCTGCAAGCGTGTTCTACTGACTGGATTTACGCTATATGTTGTATTAGGTGAGTGTCGACGCCCACGCTGGGTTAAGTTTCAATTTGGAAATGTTTGATTTTGAGCTCATTATTTTAGGTAGGATATCAGGTTAGCTAGCTAGCGATGTTATCTCGCATCTCATGTACGGGAGACACCTAACTACACCCCTAACCTCTATCCACGATCTTTCTAATTAATACACCTTTGTTCACCCTCACAGCTACGAACGTGATTCAACTACCGAAAACATTTTTTTCTCTCGGGAACATTAGCTCGACCCTCTTTGTACACACACACCGATATAACGTTAAAGACAATTTATTAAAGAATGGTTAAATTGACTAAAATCTGAACAGGGTTTGGTGCAGAGGGGTGGCTGCCGCCCTTGATAGTGCCGCTCTGTCGGAGGGGTAGGTGGGACAAACCGTGGAGGTAGAGAGGCTAACCGGCTGATACACGTTAATATGTAGCTGAAATGCGGATCACTGGGTGTGTTGGATGTTGGCCGATTTGAAGAATATCCACTAGTGATACAGAAAAACGTCCCCACATCTGTACTACCCTGCAGCTGCTGTGGGCGATAAACAAATCGACGTTAAAGTGCCAGACTTTACAATAACGGTTTCGTAGTAGAGGCGTGAGTCTCTACTACGTGTCGCCCATAGTCATTTGCTAAGCTGCCTCGAACACAAGGTTACAGTTATTAACAGTACAGTGTATCTTTATCATTTACTAACAGTTACTATATATTTTTTTATTATTACACACAGTGGCTTTTAAAATCGTGCCAACGCATCAGCTGTGTAGATAGCCAGACTTTCCATCCTGCCTAGCTTAGCGTCCACTACCAAAAGACAACAACTAATTTCCTCGTTGGCTAACCTTTTACTGACCCAGATTGTAATATTACCATCATATATGATTATGCACTTAATGATCAAAGTAGCAACACAAGTACATGCATGTGATTTGATGCAGAGTCTGTCTCAAAATAACCAGATTTACTTTAATATTTTGGCAGTAAGCATAATAATGGCCTTGTCTTTTAACTTAGTGTTACAGCTGCTGTCACTAACGTTACTGCTAATGGCTGGCTTTTTTCATAATATAGATATACATACTTTTTTTTTTTTACCTTTGAAACAGACTAAGACCATGCAAGGATCACTCAGCTACTGTAGAATTAGCTGTAGACTCTTATAATTTAGAAAGGAACTGCACAATTTTCATAAACACACTGTCACAGACCTGTTGCTGAAATAATACAAAATTCTGCCAGTTTGAAATAATGGGTTACAATATCCTGAAGTTTGGAGAAGTGGACTGGACTGGTGGTTTTCTGCTTTGAATCTCAGACTATAACATCTGACTGGAGGAAATGGAAGACATACGCTTCCTTCTGTTTTATATTGTGAAATTAATTTCATGACTGGCTACTGTCATATCAGTTTCCCTCTGTTTTTAATGTACAATAGTTGCTGGAGTTTAAATCTCTGTCACTGTTCATTAGATAGAATTAGATCTCAGAGGACAGGGGGTCTGTCTCTGCCTCTTGTTATTGGAGTAGATGTTAAAATAAGGTGTGTGTATTTGCCATGGTTTTTCAAAGATGTTTATAATTTTTTTTTTTTAATTTAATAAGGCAACATAAAAGTGAGTGTAATGTCAAACATTCCCCATCCAGAGCTTTCTTGGAAGTTATAAGTCAGTAAGCTGAGCAGTTGGTACTTTTATTTATAAACCCAGTCTGGTAAGAGAGGGTCTTTTTCTGTCTGTTGCACACGGTGTTGTTAGAGCTAAAATTACTCAATTAATTGTTTAGCTGATCAACAGAAAATTAATCTGCAGCTATTTTGATGATAAAAAATAAATGTTAGCCTTTTCTTAATGCAAAAAGCTAAACATTTGCTGGTCTGACCTCCACTGTGTATTTTGCACTGCACTTCACAATATGATGCATGCATTTAGCACACAGCCGGCCAGCCGAGAGCAAACAAGAATTACAAAAAGCAAGTCTAGATCAAACCCTAGTGCTGTATATGGGTGGACCGCGTATGGTCAGTGTATGAAATTGAAGACATAGTTGAAAACTGTAAACAACTGACATCATCGTGTCCTATTCTGCCTAGTGTCAGCCAGTTTATCACTGTGGCCTTGCTGTGGCGGTTCAGCCAGAAACATCCAAGGCAGCAAGAAGAGACGAGGATAAATGGAGCAAATGCAATAAATGAAATATTAATTTGTAGGAATTAATTCATTAATGCAAAGTCAAAACAACACCTCAGTCCTTACCGCTGCAATAACTTAATGCTTCTTGTTGGAGGGAATGAATTATGTAATTTCAGTGCACATTTTAGTGAATCAAGGCACATGTTAATAATTCAAGGATATGAATTATTAATCTGTGCAGACAGATTTTACACTTGTGCAGCTGTTTTGTTCACACTTGGTGAACACCATTAAACTGAGAAATGTTCATTAGAGCTGAAATGATTAATTGATTAGTCGACTGGCAGTAAAAAAAATATCTATTTTGATAATGAAATAATAGATTTAGTCATTTTTGAGACAAAAATGGTGAAAACATTCTCTGGTTTCAGCTTCTCACGAGAGGAGTTGCTGCTTTTCTTTGTTGTTTATCTGTAGATTTTGGACATTTGCTTGAACAAAATGAAACTGTTTGTCTCACTGAGCCCTGGGAAGTTTTGATGGGAATTTTTTCACTGTTTTTTGATGTTTCATAGGCTAAAAGATTAATGCAAAAGTCAGCCGGATTAATTGAATGAAAATGATTGTTAATTGCAGCCCCAATGTTGATTCATCTCTTTACTTATTAGTCGGTCAGTTGATTGACAGAATCTGCAACAATTCTGATAATTAGTTGATAATTTAAGTGAAATTTTTAAGCATATATGCCAAAAATCTATCCATTAAATTCATTTCCAACACTTTCTTCCACCATTATTATTTCAACTTTTCTAGTTTTAATCTCTGCTGTTCAGTCCTTTCCGTCCTCCATGTCTGTGCTGACCGCGACCCCTCCACTCGCTCACGGACTCACTTCCTCTGTCAAGATGTGACATTTAGCCTGCAAACGTCTAGGGCTTATGGGAATTCTTTTTGGGAATGAATCAAATTGTTAAAGGCCACTCAAAACACAAATCGTTGTTACAAATGTCAATGTGATTTTGAATTAGGTTTTCTCGCTTCTGCAACAAAACCCAGAAGTTGTGCAACAAACCATTGTGCGGTGTTTTGGTGTGTGATAAGCGTTAAACACATTCATCTGTTTCTCAAACTAGACTCCCTGGATCATATTTCATGGTCCCCCCCGCCAATGCAGCCCCCTGCAGGGGCTGTTGTAATACGTTGAGGCTGCATTCACAGTTTTGTTGTATTGCATACTGTTACGAGGAACTCAGACCAGGGTGCATTTAAAATTGTAACTTATTTTTATTCCAGTTACAAAACCTACATCGGCGATCGACATATACGCCGACTCCGAAGTGATTATGCAGAACGGCACCACAGGAATCCTCCGATGCACCTTCAAGTCCAGTGAAGTGGTCAGCAGTTCCACCTCAGTGACCTGGAGTTTTCAGTCGAGTCAGCCCGACAATCTGTTCTACAAAGCTCCGTACGTGGTAAGTCCTCGCCGGTCGTATCCGCTCGGGGGAGATTTCCCACAGCTCCAGGATGTTTTCCTGCGATTGTTTTATCTGCACTGACAAATGAAGAAAGGCCTCAGCTGCTGCCCGGGGTTTGTGCTCATTATAAAGACATGGTTTCAATATACAGCAATCCCTGTGCCAGCCATTAAGTTATACAGTGTATTAGATATTTTAATGACACTTTTATACTTCTCTATATATTTGTTTTAATTTGTATTTATTTTGTGTCTCTATCTTGCTTGAGCATTGTAATTGTATCTCATGAGGTGTTTATTTCTTACTCTTGTAGCAGACTGACAACACAAAGCTCTGTGTAAACACTGGGTTTCAGATGAGAGCTGCAGAGTCTTTGTACAGTATTTATATTTGACTCGCCCACTCACAGCGAGGAAATCAATTTGTTTCTGGCAAAATGAAAAATGTGGCTGGCGATTATCACAGATGTAGTTTTCAAACAATTGAAATGAGCTGTCAAGTGCTAAAACTGTCTCAGCTTCAGTGAAAATTAATAATTTCGCATGTGAGTCTGATGCCACTAGCCAGTACTAATCTGAGACACTTGTACTTACTGTATCTGTATAATATTTGATATATTAATAACAGTAGATGCTCTAAAAGTTTTGTGTTTAACTAAGCTTCAGATCACATCTAAGGATTTCTTTCATTGTGTTAGACTTGGAACAAAATGTAAACAGTCTGTAGAAAGCGAAGCCTGCTGTACCGAATCCAGAAAGTTTGTGGGGCGTGGAGGACTGCTGATCATGTCCCGTCCACAGCGCCTGATCCTTTTTTGTTTAGGGATCAGTCTTGCCGGGCGGGGGCCCACTGTACCTGTCTGCTGTGATCTTCTGCAAACAAAAACGACAAAGCCTCTGGGTTCTTAATTTGCAGAGCAGTCATGTCACAACAGACACATACGTTCAACACTTGGCGTACGTCCACACTGAGCCGGTTAAATTTCATTTTCTCTCAGTGTCGGTCCTTCGTCCCGACTTAAACTGAACTTTTCCAAAATGTTTTCTTGTGAACAGAGAAAAATGCAGAGATTTTGCAAATAGGACGACGGCAGCTGCCACTGAGCGACTCAGGGAACTGTCTCTGTGAACTCATTTTAATGTCAATATATCTGTTATTAACCTGGATTTGTCATGATCTTGTCAAAGTCGCAATTATAAACTTCAGGTTAACTCATCATTAAATCACTGTTTCAGTTTCAGTTCAGCAGCCCTGAAAACAGACAGAAAAATATGTAGATGAGAACAACCACATTGTGCGTTCAGCTCAGTATGTGGCAGTGTGTGTGGCAGTGAAGTTAAGAAGACAACTTCTCGTCTCCAACTTTCTCTGAGATCACACATGTTAAATAACATCGTAGCCGATCGTACGGCGCAGCTGTGCCCATTAATCTGCGTTTGTGTTGATTTTGTCAGACAGTGTCACGACCATGAAATAATGATTCACTCGGCCGGACTCCGTCTGTCTCACTCCTCTCCAGAAGTTGGCTGTGTTGCACAGTTTTGCTGTTCGCCAGCTGAACAGCTGACGAAGAAGAAGAGCGCTGTGGCTGTGTTTTTGTTGTTCAGGTGTGTTACTGTGGACAGAGGTCTTTACAATGACGACCTGGAAATGCTAATTGTTTTCACACAAACATAGCATTTTAAAATCATCATTTTATCCTCCTCTACCTTCTGGTTGAAGGGGAAGTCCGCAGTTTTCCTGACGACCGGCGGCTTTTCTGGGAGTTGTGGACGTGACTCCTCCGTTCTCCTCTCTGTCGTTTGCTGCAGTGGTGTTCGTAGTCTTGTGTGTATGAATATGTGGTAGTATGATATCCGGCACATGAATAAGGCACTTTCACTCTCAGTATTCTCCCTGTTACAGTATTGTGAAAGTGATATGGAACCGCTTTGCTGACTATAGTTATCCTCAGTCTGTGGGAAACAAACGATGACAATAGAAGTCGCTCTTCCTTTGGAGTTGTGTTTACACAGCTGACACTGCATAAAGTAACAAGACCGCGGCTTCACAAAAACTCTGGCTTCTGTCTCCACGTATGAACCAGAACCAGATCACTCTTGAGGACAAATCAAATGTTTTTATTTTTAACCGGCTCACTCACTCGGCAGCGGTAGGTGTGTGAGAGCGCTGTGTAGCTGTGTGAGAGCGCTGTGCTCAACTAGTTCAAAGAAGAAGGAAGAAAATTCTGACACATGTTTTTTTCCCAACAAAATGTAAAGTCAGCCATGTCACTTGACTTTCATGTGTCTGCTGTGACTCTGCTAGGTGTGAGCAGAGATCAAGAGAGGATACATACGGCACGTTTATTTTATGCTAAATTTTCTTGATTTTAGGGCTGAGCAATTGAATTAATCTAAATATTATCCAACTATGACCAAGTGCAAGATCCAAATGGCAGAAGGTGCAGTTGTTTTGATAAAGGTAAAATGTGTTAGAACACACTATGAATGAAGCATTGTGGTATTAGAGAGACTACCAGTCCTACAAATCATATTTTCCACACGTAAGGCAACATGCTCATGTGATATATTTTTTTAATGTTTTCATTTATTTTTTTATACAATTTTTTCAGTGAAAATCAAATGCAATCAATCGCAATATGATCTTTTTTTTTGCACATCGTTGATTCCCTACTTTGTTTTGAACTTTGTTGATGACGTCCGTGTGTTTTTGAGTTTTTGGGAAGGATTTAACAATTCGACACGTTTGGGAGGAAACTGGAAACTGGCTTTGATGGTTCCTCGCACAGAGCTGAATGCTGTCGTGTTTTTCAGCTTTGACATTCTGACACGTCGCAGCAGGAAAAAGCCCTGGTGTAATCATGAAATTAAACATGGCGGACTTTCTTTTAGCTGCTTCAGTTCAGTTTCAGGGTCCTGGTGTTGTGCATGCTGTCACACTGTCACACTGTCATGACTTAACTGGGACACTTGAATAAAATGGAGCCATTGTTAAAATGTCTGCTATAAAAAAAAAAAAAAAAAAAAGCAGGTCCATAAAGCCAGAGCCTGATTGTTTTGACTGTGACAGTATAAGAATATTTTCATTGTCCAGTGAGACTAAAATTATTAATTATATTCATGATTAATCTGCCAAATATTTCTTCGATAAATTTTTGCCACAGAATAGTAAGAAATGAGAGAAATGTTATAATTTCTCACAGCGTGAGGTTATGTTTTCATATAGTTTGTTTTCTTTGAGTTTACCTTCATATACGACAAGAAAAGCATCAATTTGAGGAGCTGGAACCAGGGAACTGGTTTGGTGTTTATGCTTGAAAAATAATGAAAAACACTTGTCAGTCGTTGGACTTATCTTTGCAGCTCTAATAATAAATGCAATGATACAATTCGTCATAATAATTTATAACTATAAATATTTGTTCTGGCCCACAAATCCAATTATAAAGTCATTAGGGAAAGTTGAAAATATAAAGTAATTAGAAATCCTGTCTGCTCAGTGATCATGCCACTGCGCTGTCCATCACAGATTCATTACACAAGACGACTATCGCACTGACCACGGTGAGTTATATGAGAAGTGTTGATGGTTCATCTCTGGCACCTGTGTCTTCATCACATCATCATCCTCACTTGAGGTCGGAGCTAAAACCGAGAGACACCAGATCGCAGCGTGGGTTGACTTTAAAAGTTTCAGAAACCAACTGTGAAACAGGGAAGACTGGTTTCCAGAACAATGCCCCTCACTATGGAATGAGCCTCTAATATTAGTGAGACAAAAATGGTGACTTGTGTGTATGAATAATGTGTGAATTATGCTCTTCGTTTGGAGTTTGGAGTTTTAAGCTTGTAGATGGTTAAACCTGATTTTCCATCCTTCCGTCCTTCCTTGCAGATTTTCTATTTTTCCCACGGGAAAGGATTCCCAGGACCAGTTGAGTTCAAAGAAAGAGTGCAGTTTATTGGAGACGTCAACAAGAGGGACGTCTCGATACAGCTGAACCCGGCTCAGTTCAGCGACAATGGCACCTTCTTCTGCGACGTGAAGAACCCACCAGACATCATGGGAACGCCGGCTCGAACAGAGCTCAGGGTCGTTCTGAAAGGTGAGTTTTTTTCTATGATGAAAATCAGTTTGAGGCTGTGTGTTAAGAGATAGAGGAAGAGTTAAGATGCTTTTTTTATAGATGTAGCTGCTTGCTTGGCCTTGACCAGCCTCTTGTCAGTCAGTCGTGTTCATCCACCCACTGACTCACTGCACACACAGCATACGCTACACACACGCTGATTGGACAGTGTAAGAAACACTGTAGAGCAGTCAGTCAGCGTCGACAGTCTGCCTCTGTGTGCTGTTTCCAGGCAACTTTTCCCTGTCAATGTGGCTTTTTATTCCAAGGTTTATTATTCACTAACTACAATCAAATGTAATTGACTCGGACACAGTGAGTGGGTGGCACCATTTGGGATGAATGAAAAGCATAATGGTTTATTTTAAAATGCTGCAGCGGCACACTTTAAATCTATATGTAAGCCAAAGAGGATTAACGTTAAATCTTCCTTAAATCTCAGTTTAGTCATCTGTAAACTGAGATCTCGAGGTGTGGAAAAGTGACAGGCCCACATCTCCCAAAACTAAATGTCAAATGTTGAAAAGAAAAAGAAAAAGAAAAAGAAAAGCCGTGGTTCTCTGGCAACAAGTCAGTAATAATCTTTTTTTATTTTGGGTTGAGACACTGTGATTTTGTGATGCTCGAGTATCTGCAGGTGTTGAAATGAAACGCTGAATCCAAAGACTTTAAAGGGTTTTAAAAGGTATTTAAAAAGCCTGAAATCTAATTTATAAAAACAGAATATTAGCTCCATCTTGAGCTAAATGTTGCTGTCTTTTCCCACAGTTTATTATTTCCATGTTAATTTTGAACTGCAGACAAACACCTGTGCCATGGTGTCTGCTTATTATAAATTAATCCGCACCTTCCAGCCAATGAGAACTTAAAACATCTCGACTCCTCACGCACCTGGTGGTGTAACGGCACCGTGAGATCTACTTTCCACAAAATATAAAAGGCGTTCCAGCTCACAGAGGTTGCACAGGTACATTCTTGTTATTTGTTTTCAGTTACACGAAGCCCATGTCTGCATGTCACGGCTTGTTATCTTTTGTCCCAACAGTTGTAGCTCCGCCCCTTCAGGTGGGAGTTCGTTCCGTATCAAAGATTTATGTCTGGAAAGTAGTGCAGTACCAAAATAAGACACGTTTGTGTGTCTGTCAACATTTGTTTGACTATGACACACAATTTTCTTAGTATTTTCCCTTGACTGGCGGACGGCCAGGTATCAGTGACACTCCCAGCTGTGGACTGTAATTGGAGGGGGAAGATGCCTCATACCTGACCGTGAACTTAAAGTTCCACTTAACCCTTTTGTCGATGTTATTATTGAGGTAACCTTATTTATACGGCATGTAGAGACAAGCTTAGGAGCCTGATTGAAAGTGCTGATGTGGGGCTTTCACACAGTACCTCATTTACCGTAAAAATGTATTTTGAAAGACATTTTTTAAAATGTAATGATTAATATTTTCAGTAATTCACAATGGCAGAAATACACTTTCAATGAGAAATGCAAGAAAACGTATTTGGTTAAAATCACTGTACCTTTTTAAATTGACTGTAATTGATTTTTCTATTATATTTAAAACACTAAAAACAGTGAATATTCTGAGTGATTATCACTGATTTGTAGGTAGGTAGGTGTCTGTGTCGTTTTTCTTGTATTTTGGGTTTTGGTTTCTGGCAGCTTTACACTTATACTTTAGTTAAATTGAGAAAATGATCAGTCAGACTTATAGGTGAGTGTTTTCAAAATAAAATAGACCATGCATTTGCAGAATGGACAGTTTAAAAAGTGTCAAACAAAGACACAAATGAAGCAAAATGAACACAGACTCCAGAGAGTTTTAAACACATAAAATCAGACGGTACGTGCTCTACTTCAACACAGCAGTAACTGCTCCTTGCTGTTTGAAATGTCAGCTCGTTAATTAAAAATTAACCCTTGTGTGTGTTTGTTGTGTTTTGTCGTGTCTAGAATCGTTTCCTCAGAGCAACACTGCCCTTATAATCGGAGCAGTGTGCGGTGCTTTAGTCCTGCTCGTCCTCGTCGCTGTAGGTGCCTGCGTTGTCATGAGGGTGCTTCACAACCGCCATGATTATGAAGGGTGAGTGTCCTCTGACTTGTTTCCACTGTTGCTGATTGCTGACATCAACACTGCTACGGTAACACCCCAGCAGAATAAGAAATGGGATTCAGAAAGAAATTTGACGTTCACAAGAAATTTGCCGACACTTTACTTCAACCCACTTAGTGCACCATTTAATGAATGGTTTATAACACTCTGTAATGTAGGTATAAGCAGATATAAGTCTTAATGTGGATGTTGAAGTATAAACAGATATAAACGACAAAACACAGTCTTTACATGAGAAGTTAAAATTGTTGACAACTTGTTAGTAAATTATTATTATTAAACACTTAAAAATGCCCCTTATGTCTGTGTACAAGTACAATATAGTGTGTTATATAAACCATTTATTGAATGTTTGTATACTGCGTACAAATGCGTAACAGGAGACTCAAAGTTAGACGTTACCAGAACCACTTTCTAAATGTTTTTACTGCCATTGTAATTATTGTAATATTTGTTCCACTGTTAAGAAGGCATTCATTTCTAGATAACATTTTGTATCTTCCCACTCAGAAAAAGCAAAGTGGTGTTGTGTAAAAGGTTATGAGAATCCACTGTAACTGTGCTTACTGCTACCAAACAGGCAAAACTGATTATCATTAGTTATTTCGATACACGAATTAAGAGGAAAAGTTCACAGCAGTTACAGTGATCTAAAAAAAATAATAGAAATAACACACATTAACTAGTCTGATTAGTGGAATTATTATTATTGTTATTTATTCTCCAACAAGTGCATGAAACCAAGATGAGTAACATCTAAAATGAGCCTTTTCCTGAATGATGAGTATTGAATTAGAAATGTGATGAGGAGGCTTCATCAGAGAGCTGTGCTGTTTTCTGAAAGTCGAAGTGAATCTCATGTAGAAAAGATGTTTTTGTTGTTGTTGTTGTTGAGATGTGAGGTAAGTTCCTCAGATGGATTTTTTTGATCAAACAGGTTTCCTGAATGTTTTTTTTTAATTTTTATTTTCCAGTAATCTTTTAGTCCTTCAGAGATTCAATCATCCACCTGTAACACCTAGCTAACTCTTTCTGCATAGGAGCAGGGTTCACTCTCTCTGTCTCTCTCTCTCCCTCTCTCTCTCTCTGTGTGTTTACCTGTGGTCAAAAAGCTTTGGGCTCGTTTTGGGCTGCTTGGATGACCTAGTGTTTTTACTAATTATTAACACGTTTGTCAAAGACATAAACTAGACTGTGTGTGCTCGAGGTAGTTTGACCGTGTCTACCTCGTCGCATGCTCCAGCCACTCTGTTCATCTCAGTGAGAAAACCCACACGTAGAGCCGTGAATACTGGAGGGTTAGCATTAAGACGCTGGCAGCTCCCGCTTGGCTTGTTTGGATGGTTTGAGCCTGTGAGCCGTAGAAGCAGCGGTCTTTGGGGTTGCTGTTTTTCACTGGTGCCAGTCACTTCCCTCCATCACAGTTTGTTAACACAACTAATTTTCACAGCATCACTTTGTATTAACATCTGTTAGCTTGTTGGCAGATTTACAGAATGTTGTCTGGTCATTGTCCATCGTCTTCTTCCACTAACACCCAAACTAATCACTGCCTTCCTCACCTGTTTCTATCAGACTAATATAACCTCCATCACCAGCTTTTATTTTTATTAGTATTATTATTATTAAACATATTCAGTCAACAAAAATGTGTGGAGGCTTTTTGTTGACCCTGTTCAGTCGCCTTGAAATGACAGAACAAATATAGCCAGTTTCTCAGGTGAACAGCTTCTCTCACTGTATATACTGTTGTAACGTGTCTTTAGTAGAGGTGCACCGATGGTAGAGTCATGAGCAGATGTTAACCAGCTGTTAACCAGCTCTTTGTTATGTTACGATGAATATCTAAACTCTTTTTAACCCTTTCACGTTTATTCTAATCAACAATTCTTAATCATAAGTCTGAGATCTCTTCGTTTTTTTCTGTTTGAGGCATGACTTAATTGACTGGACTCCAGGTTTATTAACTCCTGACTCCAGTTAGCTTTATTTATTAATGCTGATGTCTTCAATATGGAGAAGAACGAGTCAATGCTTATTAATTAGAATAGATTGTTTGTTCATAACTGTAACATGGACGAAGATCTGAACATACGTATTTCAAGAAAGAAAAACCCCCTGGTTCTCTCCGCCAGTATTTGATCATTTATGTTAGATTCATTTTATGATTTGAGAGCGAGTACTTACAAGCTGCATCAACGCCAGTTTGATATCACTTTAAATCCTGCCGGTGCACCTCTAGCCTCCTCCCAGGGTCGGTAACTGCTTTCATTATCTCTTGACAAACCGCCGGGAGCTGCCATTCACTTTGTTTGCATCCAGTGCTTTGTGTGCTCATCTCTCATTGTTTTATTTTTGTCTTGTGTCCCATTATTTGTGTTGACTGTGCACCAATGGTTGCGGCAAATCGTAAACCTAAACTAGATGTACGTCCTTGGAAAGCGTGAGCTCTCAGGCTCCGCAGCCACGAAAGAAGGTGGAGTCTGGCCGGGAGGGCTCCAAGAGTACCATTCCCTTGGGTCCACTACAGGTAGGAGCTGGGGGACGGAGAAATCCACTGGCTGCCACCATTTTACTGGGAAACTGTTGCATTTCTGTGGCCCTGTTGTTTATCCAAACACACCTGAAGCATTCTCCTCTATCCCTGTGCTCTGATGTGATGTAATAAACAGTATCTGGTTCGGATCAATCATAAAAATAAATATAAAAAAAAAAAAGATTATGTATTTTGCAAACATGAATAATATAATAGAAAAGATAATAATACAATAGAACGAGGAATAAGAAATGAAATAGAAATAGCGCAGTAAAAAAACCAAGGGGAATATGAGAATTGACTGCTAACGTTAGCTTCACGCTGCAAACCAATATGTCGCAGACGGTGTGATCCCGCTCTGTCTCAAAAGCTAACGCAGGTCGTCATGGTAATTTTCACTGTTTTCTGAGTGCTTTCTTACTTTTAGGCAAGTCGACTCTTATAAATTTTAATTCCCGTTTAATCGACAGGGAAATCGTCCCTTGATGTCATGCTGCAGAATGACCTTGGGACCGATCAGACGGTCCTGATAGTTTTACATGATGATAAGAATCTAAACATCCAAAGTGTTTAAACTTCTGCACAGTCCTGAGCTCACGTTGCACAAGGTGTGAGTTGTTTTCCACGGTAAAAAGCGGAAGGAGGTTGACAACTTTTTAAATGTATTTTAAAAATCCATATGAACATTGAAACAGGTTTTGCTTGCTTGTAACCGGTTGTCCTGTTCATACTTGCCTCCTAATGCACTTCCAGTGTCAGAATCGGAGACGAAATCCACAATGCAGGAAGGAGAAACTGTCCAGGGAAACACAAAGGGGGAAATTCTAAACTGAAGAGACGATAACTTTGGCAGATATCCATGTTTAATGTTGGAATGTATTTTTACACAGAAAGGCAGCTGTGGATTTTGTCTTATCTCTTACAATGAAAGCACAATAAGAAGGGATCTTTAAAAGGAGAGTATGAAGAGGAAGAAATGAGTACATTAGACATACATGCGTGCTTTAATGGTCGCATTAAATGGTAATATTACTTCTTCAGTAGACAGTGCGGGATCAGAAACCAATAGGTGGAGATTATTAGTGGAGATGACAAAGATAGACGGACTGTTATACTACAAATTTCCACTTCTCAGATACTGTTTTACCCTCCAAGTTGTTTTTTTTATGCTGCACGTTCATGGAAACATAGAAAACTCAAAATAATCACAAATCTTCACTCAAGTTGAAATGCATTCAACTCAAATGGACACGTCTTTGTCTCGGCTTATGGCGCCACATGTTCGTCTCTGTTCAAATTTGTAGATGAAATAGTAATAAATTGCCAAATACAGCACATACAGTACACGTCGACAAAGATTTCCACAGACACGAGATGGACAATTAATATCTAATCAAAATAGTTGCCCATTTATTTTCTTTAATTGACTAATTGATTAACTAAACTGATTTCTTCAGCTTTACACAATCCCCCGTGTGCATGAGAAGCTTAATGAAGTTACACAACAGAGTCGAACTCTCACTATTAAAAACTCTTTCATTACATAAAATTGCAGAAATCTTCAGTTCAGATGTTTTACTGGAAAAACACAAGCTGCTAATTATAGACTCTAGATATATAATTTATCAGCAAATGTTAAACCATGAGTTAAAAGATGATGCATCTCTTTGTGTATGAAGGTTCCTCTCTGTCTGATTTATCTGGACGTATTTGTGTCTTATACTGACTTTTTATTTCTTTTCCATTTTCTTTCTTCTTATTTTCCAGGGCCCGGTGATATACGCCCAGTTGGATCACTCAGGCAGCAAAAACTCGTTCCATAAGATGGAGCCAGTGGTCTACGCTGACATTCGTAAAAACTGAAGAGGAACTGGGGACCAAAAAAGAAAAATAAATAAAACACAGTAAAGTATCAGACCTCTTTATCAGCTGCTCTTGGGATGGGTGGGATTATTTCAACAGGGACGTAATTGATGCAGTTTTATTTTTATTTTTATTTTATTTTTTTTTCATCTCTTGTCCTCTGAAAGCATGATGCTGTTATGATAAAGTAATGTCTCCATGTACTTTATTGTAAAGACAAAAAAAGAAACACCTTAGTGAACACAACAACACTACATCATTCCATCACATCAGCCTTGAAGTTGTTCTGCAGCACAGGGATCAAAGTAAAAATAAGAATGCCTTCATAGATATCATTCCACGTGCAAAAACACTTCTCCTTAATCATTGTAACTTTGTGCCTAAAAAAAAAAAAACAGAAAAGGTTCTGCAGGCTGTTGCACCAGCTGAAGTTTGATCGTAACGCCAAAACGCAAACTGTCTCGGCTGCAGGCGTGTTTAAAAATAAGTAACATCACACGGGAAGATGTCGACGTTGTCAACACGTGTGAACAAGCAAACAAACATTTGATCATCTTTGATGACAGTGCAAACTACGGAAGCCCAGAGAGGCAAGTGGGGAAAAAAAACTGTTTGTTTTTGTAATACTCATTTTGGCCACAAGAGGCGGAAGTGCATCGCTACCCCGGTCTCTACAGGACTAAAAGCATTAATGTTTTCTTCCAGGTGATTTTAAAGTTCCTAATGTACTGTAAACACAAGGTGCAAATATTATGTGTTAGCAAGTTATGTAACGGTACTGTTGTGTCTTTCTTGTGGCTAGAAATGTATTTTCTATGTATTACAAAAACAAACACAAATACAAACTGACCAAATAAAAGTTTTTTTTCACTTGCCTCTCTGGGCTTCCGTAGAGACACTGTATCAAAGGTGATCCAATGTTTACTTGCTCATATATGTTGAGAAAGTCGACAGTTTCCGCGGGATGTTACTTCATTTTTCATGACTGTAATTGTGTCTTAACAGTAATTAAAGCATCGTTGCAGAGCGCCACTCAAACAAAATGGGAGAGAAAACCACTACTAACGATAGTATCCTATCACATGTGAAGTCGCTACACGACGGGACGTGCATTTGTTCATTCATCAGTCGCCTCTGCTGTAATTTGGCGTTTTTTATTTTACTCATTAAGACAAACTCTACTAATATCAACACGAGCAAACAAAAAAAACTTCTAAGATATTCAACTGACACCTAAACTTTGACAAGTTCCCGTTACAAACAACATGTTGGTGGCGGCGGAAAAATACCCCCAAATACCAAGTATGCATTTGAAAGAAAGAAGAGTCTGTCAAAATTAAGTTTTATATTTGTTACAGCACAGTCTCAGTCAAGACTACAGTCATCCACAACCACATCCCAATACTATTAAAACAAACTCACTTCAGTTATTGTCAAAGAAAAGAATCGAGCTCACCAGATCTCCGTGTCTGTCCAGCCCGAGGACGGTGCGTATTTGAACTTATATCTTAAATCTCGTAACTAACTTAGATGTCGAAGCCTGTTGCAGCTCCGACTCTTAAAAACACATCCCGACGTTTTGAACTTTACCTGCAGCTGGTGCAACAGTGAGCTGAAGCCACAGGTCATCTCCACCGCGGGGGCACTTCCATTCGCAGAGGCGGATTAACGTAGAGTTAGATTTCACATTGCCTTCAGTAACTTTGCATGTAGTTTAGTAACATCTACGAGCTGAACTTGGTACTCGTCAACTAGTTGTGAAGCAGAAGAAAAACAGTCTGACGTTGTGTTACTGTGAATGCTTCAGTTCTCCGTTAAAAACAAAAAAACAAAAAAGAAAAACAAACACTCCTGGCATGTTGTTAAGGTACCTTTTTAAAGACACCGCCTCCATTTTGAGTTTCACCTCAGTTGAACATGTTCTTTTTCTGCCTATATTTTTTAACTAACTTTTAGTTGCTCTGATTGTCTGTATATGTTTAAAAAAATAAAAATAAAAATAAAAAGAAGTGCAGATGAACACATGGTCAGTGCAACCCAGAGAGTTTTTTTTTTCTTCTTCTGCTTGGTTAAGTGTGATTTTAAAGATCAAAAAAAGCAGTTTGCCGCCGGTGAAAACTACCTGGGCAGTTTATTTTTCATCCTAATTTTGAGTAATTATGAATTATGCATGTTAAAAACAAAATGTTCAACTGAGGTGAAACAAGTCTTCCTGTGAAAACACGGGAGCTTTTCATTGTTGGACAAAAGAAATGCTAAATACACTGTTTGCATGCAATTTACTAACATAACACTCATTATTATGAAAATATCCATCCTTTTTTTTTTTCATCTATGTATTATGTAAAGCTCTTTTTCCTTCCAAAATAATGGGCCAAATATCTAATATCAACAGTAATATTAGGTAAGTTCTTTTTCAGATGCTTTTAAGCTTTAACATGCATTCCACATTAAAAAGCCAAATTTATGTTATTATTTTTGTGAACGGTTCGGTTACCTATGAGAATGATAATTGTGTTGCTACCAGTCTTAAAACAAAACGCCTTCAGCTTCAGCTTGTGATTTCAAATGCAGTAATTTTTCCACGTTGACCAGTATTTGTATATATTTCTTGCTCATGTAAGATATAGTGCTGTTTACTGTAACTCATTCCAGTGTGGTATGGCTGCGGGTGTCTTTCCAGAGAAGGAAAGTAGTTTGCTGTAGAGGTCTAGAAAGTTGGCGGCATGCGTAAATGTTCTCTCTTTTTAGTCTTAATTATTTGTCACCGGACACTATCAACGTATACGGTGCCTGCAGGAAGTGTCGAGCCTGGTAGTTGAAGATGGCTCGAATTCAACTTTTCTTCAGTCGAAGGGTTGTACAACAAAAACAGTAAAATAATGTGACGTTTCTTGAGCTTTAACTCCATGTTTGTTTCAAGAAACGACATGATAATAGTTTTAAAAACAGTCTTTATAACACAAGCCACTCGTCCTAAGGTTGAGTCATTGTGAATGTCACTGATCATGTAGATTTGCATTGCCTTTGTCTGCCTGTATCAGTGGGTTTATCCACTGCTGTGCTCACAGTTTGTACTTTACAGCTCTAAAAGTCTGTAACTATAATGTCTGTAAAGCCTGAAAATGCAAACCAGTGAATAGAGTGGAACTTTATAATCACCACCATGACAGGAAGTATGTCTTCCTCTGATCAAAGTCCATCAAGAAAAGAACATAAAGTCAGTAAAAATAATAAAATAAAACAACATGCAGCACAAATAAACAGCCATTATGTGCAAAAGTTGATAAATAATAGATGAAAAAGGAAGAAAAAATCTTTAAATCCTGTAGATTTTTCTCCGTATTCTAACGTCATGGTGCAGCCTCGCCGTGCGTTACATTACTAAACAAGAATGTGAACATGCTGACGCTGATGCTGCATTCACGTCATATCATTTAAACTGTAATTACAAGCAGCGGAGCGGGGGAAAAAAAAACCAAAACAAAAACCATTCACTTCACCCTCCGACGTTTTATCCCGAGTCTGGGCTTTTGGGACTTTCTGACACATGATGTTGTCATCAACAGGCTGTCGGCAGAATGGCTGTGAATGCACAACTGGACACGATAAAGTCCAACAGTTAACACTTGCACAATCCTGTCAGCTCATTTTATAGGATGAAGAAGAAGCTAATTCAGGCTCAGTCAGAGTATGGTGCATTTATCCTGTTTAGTGTGTTGACAAGCGCAAAGAGTAACTTGATATCATGACTCTTGACTCTTGTGTTGGGGCGTGGTTGCAAATGTTGCACCTGTAACCACACCCACTGCTGATGTCACGGTGTACTGGCACACCCTGGAGTACGCGTCCACATCGCTGCAGCGAGATGTGACTTTATTTTCAGGTGCTGCTAAATACCACGTGCAAACTACACGACTACGTGACTCTCATGTCCATTTTACATCTACATTGTGCTTCTACATTGTGACTGAAGAAAATTTGAATTCAGTCCATTTTGACCTGACCGTGGCTTCGACACCCGATACTGCAGGCGCCGTGTGCTCTTCCATGTCTGTCGTCTCTTTTAATGTTCGAGCCTTTTCTGTTGGTTCATGTTTGTTATTTTATTAGTTAGCATGTATTTCAGTGTATTCAACAAAATGAAAAAGAAAACAACCTTTATGATACCGACAAACCTTTACTGCTGGTGGCTTTGCTCCTGTTTGTGACGTGTTGCCGTGTTTAGTGCTGTTGTAGAAATCGTGATGTAAACTATAAATTATGAAAGATTTCCGATCCGACCGAGCTTCACGCGCAATGTTTGGTTTGTTGGGGTCTTTAAAATGTTGTGAGTGAGGGCGGGCTGCGGCGTTCACTCCACTCACGGCGAGTCTTAAAGTGCGTGCTTAGTGTTTTTTGATGGTAAATAGTTGTGTGTTATTTGAGAATTGTTTGGTATGTTATGTTGTAAAATCTGCACTATGTCTTGCATATCAAAGACAACAAATGCCCTGTGATTTTATTTTTTTTTTTGTTTTGTTTTTGTTTTCGTTCATCTCTGAATGACCTTTGGCCTCTGTTTAACGTCCTTAAAACTGGAATGTTGTACATTTAGTGCCTTTTACATTTCATCAGCTAACTTGAACATCTGCTCAAAAATAGAAAAAGATAAGATTCATTTATTTTCCTTTTATTGTATGTATTTTTTTATACACATAATATCGCCTCTGTATCCACTGTTCAAATTTTATATAAAACTTATTCCTGGCCAATTATTCATGTGTTTGTTCTGATTGTTGTATTGTAGTAACCAAGCTGAGAACGTTTTCTTTCCTTTGAATCAGACAAAGACTGAAACATCTGCTGCATTATTACCTTGTTATTATGATTTAACACGTAAAGACTCTGGGAAGAGCTTTATATTTTGAGTCATGTTGCATTTCGCTGAGTATTATAATCTTCCTTTGTCTCCTTTAATACATCACATTAACAAATAGTCTAAAAAAAACAGATAAAAGTTTATTTTGAAAATTGGAAAAAAAAAACAAAATGCAGTGGTGGAAAAAGTGCTACAAATGCTACAATGTTAAAATACTCAATTAAAAGTAAAAGTCCTGTATTCAAACATAAAAAGACATAAAGTATTTATTAGAAAAATGTACTTAATGTGAAGTTGAATCTTTAAAAACAAGTCTGTAACTCAGGTACCGCCAAAATAAACTCTTCCTGGTCCTTTAGCTTCAAATCTACAGTCGACTCCTCAGCAGCTGGACTGAAGGGAAAAGTAAAAGTACACAGGTATTATCAGCAAAATGTACTTAAAGTATCAGAAAAATGGCCCCTGTGATTGATAATATACATGACATCATTAGATTGTTAATATTGATGCATCAGTGTGTGGTGGAGCGAGTCTTAACACAGTTGTCTGGTGTGTTCCAGTGGATCCCGGCTTATTGTTTCAGCTCTACTTCTTTATCCTGTTGAGAAGTTGAATTTATTACAAAGCATCATGTTTTATAAGCTCTTTATATGTTTTGTCTGCAAAACTTTAAATATGTAAAAATACTAAATATGATACAATATATTCCCTCTCGAATGTAGTGAAGTAGAAGTATAAAGTAACATGAAAACAACACCTCCGATTAATCCTTAAGGGCAGAGCTTCAATAATGTTCTAGGTTATTGTTTATTGTTTATTGTTTATTGTTTATTGTCCACCGCTGCATAATAACACGTATAAACAGGCCGCGAGGCAAATTACTGGAAACGCTCAGCTGCTGGTAAAAAAAAAAAAAAAACAGAAATGCTGCATTGTCTGTGTGTGAGCAGCAGGAGGCAGAGTGGGTCTTAGGTTGAGATGTGTATCATCATCCCTTCTCCTCGGCTCCCTGGTTGAATTACTGATTAATGTGTTGGAATAATATCTCACTGATCTCACTGTTTCCCTCCAGGAAACAAAACTCTGGAAACAAACCATGAAAAAAAAAAAGAAAAAAAAAAAGAAAACAACACTGCACGCTCTCAGAGCTGATGTTGAGCTGCATGGAAAGGGAAACAGAGTCTGGGAATCCCGGTAAACAAAAAGGGGGCAATCCCCCAGGAGAGCATCATGTGGTGTGCTTTGTTTGTAATATGAAGCGGTGAGGTAGGTGTGTGTGTGTGCGTGTGTGTGTGTGTGTGTGTGTGAGAGAGAGAGAGAGGGAGAGGGAGAGCTGAACATGACACCACTGATAAACATAATGAAGGATGAAACGATGGTGAATGTGAAACCAAACCTGCTACGAATGTACGAGACACTGGAGACAAGAGACCAGGTGAGGCTGCTCTTTATTCACCTTCTTTATTATTTACAATATTCCTTTTTCTTTTTCACCTGTTTCTAAAGTAACTTACTTAGATACTCGTACTTCTTCCTGCACCACATGTATTTGACAGTTACTCTTCTGAATTAATATTTTATTTGAAAAAAAAACAAACAAACATCAACATTAGGACATATGGGGAATTATTATGGATTAAACCAAACAACTGCGTAAAGTAAAGGATCGAATTCACTCTTGGCAACAACGTTTAAAAAATGTGGAAATTTGCCCAGTTGTCATGGAGATGGATCTGTTGACTGAAAAGTTCAGTAACTATTCTGATTTGGATCCACAACGCTTTAAAAGATTTAAATGTCAGACTTCATTCTTGACTGTCCCAACTCAAAGTCCTCTTACTAGCTTTTACCAGAGCTTTCATCCATATTAAACAGAAATGGAGAATATCTTGAGCTTCAGTGGGATGTTGTTTAAGTTTAAAATGAGTGGATGGAGTATTTTTTGTTACCTGCAAACAGTTCTGAAGGGTAACGTAGTATATATACTCATGTACTGTACCTACAGTTTGTACTTTTACTTTACTTTTACTTTAATTCCTCCTTCACTACAATTCAATGACAGATTTTTACTCCACTACATTGTACCTACATTTACAGCTGATTTTACATTTAAATACACTTATAAAATATGATTTATTTAGAGATTAAATACCCAAATAACATGTAGAGAAGTTAAAATTACACTACAACACAAAAATTACTGCTGATACATTAGTAATAATTTGATAGTGTAATATAATAAAGCACCCTGACACAGTTCATCCTGCATAACGAATACTTTTGGTACTTTGAATACTTTTGTTCTTTTACTTACTGGTAAAATTTTAAAAGCAGACTTTCAGCAGCTTGTAGAAGAGCATTTTGTTAATTAAAAGTTAGGTTAATTAAATTTAAGTAAAGGACTTCTTCCACTACTGGCTGCAAACACATGTTCATTATTGTGAACCTGCCAATATAATTGAACAGGACAGAAAATCACTTTAGACTTCTTGTTAAAGACATTTGACTAAACAGAAAGTCCATAAAGAGTCTGTAGATCATGATGTTAGTGAAGTAAAAGGTGAAGTGTTGTGTTCGTGGCCTCCCGCTTCAGATCCGCACAGTAAAGTCGAACAGCTCCACTGAAGCAGTCAGAGTTTTACTCATTCACTCTCCCAGCCAGGAGAGACATTCATACACTTGTACAGTGATTTAAAACTAATTGCCTGTGTGTGTTAACTGGCCTTAGTCATTGAAGTTACAGTGATGTTTGTTTACAGCAAACCAGAGAAGAAGCCACATGACAAATCCAACTGCACTCCCACAGTCTTGAAAAGGATGTGTGAATTTTCAACACGCCCACATGTCTCCGATGGGTGGACTACTTCTTTCCAAATCCATCAATAACTGCTGCTGACATTTTTTTGTTCTGTCTGGGTGGAGATGTGGAGAATGAAAACATTGTCTCTTTTCAAAAAATGTATCCATAAAAGGTTGTTTAAAAAAAAAAAAAAAAAAAAAAACCCCAAAAAACTTCCAGATTCAAAGATAATACAAACATGGAGAGCTGAGATCAAATATATTAAAATAACCCACATTCCTAATGGAGATTGGCCTGTGAGAAAATTTAAACTATTTCTAAAGAAATCATCCAACTTTAGGATTAAAAGGGGGAGAGGGGGGGGGGTGTTATGGAGTTTGGGGGTGGTGTGTGGGGGAGGGTGTGCGTGGGAGTTGGAGGGGGCGACTGGACTTCCCAATCCCCTTATAAGGCATTTCCCTGAGAGCAGTGGGAGGGGGGAAGAAGGCCGAGCGATGCAGGATATTCTCACAGGATGTGATGGCTGGACAGCAGCCGGAGCTGTGCGATGTGGAGGGAAGAGTCAGCTGAGGGGAGCCTCTGGCCTCGCGGTGCCTCGTTTGGTTACTATCTACTTATCTGTGAGTGTGTGTGTGTTTGTGTGTGTGTGTGTGTTTGTGTGTGCGCGTGCATGTGTGTGTGCGTGCTGAGGATGTGAAATCAGGATGATCAGGAGATACTGCCACATTAGTCATCAGCTGAAAGTGAGGTAAATGTTCAGCTTTACAATAAGTTTTAAAATGTGTTGCTTGTTGTTGTTGCTGTGGGGTTTTGGTCTGTGGGAGCTCTGGACTGGAGCGAGCAGATGCTGCTGTGTGTACATGGTTACAGACGGCAGAGGTGGAAGAAGTACTTAGATCCTTTATTGAAGTTCCAAAACAACAATATACAAAGTAAAGTAAAAGTAAAAGTACAAAAGTGTTCTTATTACAACTTTGCAGGGAATTTACATATAAAACATATGATGTAAGTGATATCTCTGGATGTTTACATTTTGTTATTGCTACTTTTACTTAAGTAAACAATCTCAATACTTCTGCTTATGGTTGTAAACACGTGTCTCAAGAGGATTTTGAAAAAATACATATATAATAGAAAATCTGCAGTTTAGAGGTAAAAAATATATATATTTTGTGTGCTCAGAGTGAAATGATGTCATGTGTAAACAGGATTTTTGACTACATGTTAAAATTGTTTTATTTTGTTAAGTAGAATCTTTAAAAACAAGTCTGTAGAGCATGAAACCGCCAAAATAAAGTGTCTCTGGTTCTCCTGCTTCCAATCTGTACAGAGCAGTTAAAAAAACCAATACAGGCGTTATCAGTGAAATGTACTTAAAGTAAACGTGTAAACATGTGCTCTCTGACTGGTATATTATTATATATGACATTATAAGATTAATACTGATGCTTCAATGCTTCAGTAGCATTTTCCTCTTGTAGCTGCTCAAGATGGAGCTAGTTTTAATACTTAATGTACATTTCAGTTGTTTAGTCCAGTGCTTCCCAACCGAGGGGTCGTCAGAAAGAAGAAAAAACTCATTTGAATTATTAAAAAAAAAAAAAAAAAATCCCTAACTTTTACTTAATTTGAAATATTGGATAATTTTACATATTTAGGGGCTCAAACATTTATTTAAATAAAACCACGTGAGAAATTTAGAGGAAAAACTCAATTAAACTTTCAATTCTGAAACTTGACCAGGTTTTGTTCTATTTTTTTGTGCTTATTGTTTGTTATATTTTTATAAGTTTATCACCTTTTTAATGCAAAGTCATAATGTGAAAAGTAGCCATTGCTGTTAAATTCATGTTGTGGGGTAAAAAGTACAATATTTACCTCTTAAATGGCGTGAAGTGGAGGGAAAAACCTGAATTTAATTGGAAATACTGAAGTAAAGTACCTCAGTTGACGGACCATTTTCCTGCTCCAGACAGACAGAAAGAGTGTTGAGCTTTCTGGCTGCTGATGAAAAACCACAGTGTTTTATCAGATTGTAAATGTTTAAAAGAGTTCTGCAAGTAACTTGTGTGATAAACCTCCGGTATTTGCCTTTGGCCATCAGTACAAAGAAGCCAGGCAGTATCTCTGATCACCCAACGAACTGGCTTATTGAACAAAATGTTTTATTTTAACACTTTTTTTTGAAAAAAAACTTTTATTTGTTGATTGCCAACAAACCCAAAAGCTTTTCAGAAGCTCTAAACACATGATGTTTGTGTGTTTTATGCAGCTGCTTCGAGTTGGCATTCGCTCACAGACATCACAAGGGTGCAGTGATTAATGTCTTTAGTGAAGCGAGTTTGCTCTTGAATCTGAGAGAAAATGTGTGTAGTGAACATTTTACATGAGCTGGACTCAACCTTTGTCACGTTTAACACTGAACTGAACAGCAGGTGAGTATTTAGGGGCGACAACTTGTTGCATTTCTAATTTAAAAACCAGATAGTTTTTTGTTTTTCTCTTCACTATCTGCTTCACTATCTTTTTTGTGGTGCCATTTTTGTTTCACCTAGATTCCCACGTGCTTATCATCCCCATGGGTGTTTACCATTACAGTGATACTAATTACTCCCACATTGTCTGCCATGCAAGGCTGCATGTTGTTTTGTTCTGTTCAGGGGAGCCTGTCAGGAAATATTTTAGTTTAAGTTTCCACAAAATAACAGGCACAAACCTTGAGTCTCATAAATGATGACTCACGAAACAGTCTCTATGCTTTTTCTGTTTCCAAACAATAACCTACAGCAGTGAATCGATTGCATTTACCCAGAGCCAATGGAAACGCTTCAGCTTTGTTTGCTTAGTCATCCCCTCTCAGCCCCGCTAGTTCTGCAGCTGTATATTTTATCTGCATACAAATAACAAAAAGCCCCTTTTTGCACTCCATCACAGGGCATAAATAGTGCTGTCATAGGTCAGCATGTCACATAGTAGGTAGGGCTACTTCCCTCTTCCTTCCCTTTTCGAGTCATATCACCTCACAGCATGTTTCCTGCATTCATGTGTTTCTAACTCGAGTGATCTGGACTCCCTCTCTCTCTCTCTCTCTCTGTGCTGCAGCACCATGGCCGCCTTCCAGCTGCTCTTCCCGCTGTTGGTCAGCTGCGTGGTGGCATCCGCAAGTCCTCCCCGACACCTCCCTCCATGCCAAGTTGTAAGTAAAGCCTGGTAAACAGACACACACACACACACACACACACACACACACAGCAGTGGTTCAACAGTGACACTTTGGTATCTAAATTCATGTTTTATTTGTGGCTTCTTCTCCAAACATTCCTCACATTTCCACTTAAATAAATACAGTCCGCGTGGGTTTTTTGCACCTGATGTCCGTTTGTTTTATTATGGGTTGCCCACGGTAACCGAGATGAGACACCCTAATCCATCAGGTGCTTGAGGTATTTTCCGATTAACTTTAGGCAGATGGTTTATTTGAGCAGATCTGGTTTATCAGTTTTAGCCCTTGTACCGTGCTGCCAACAAAACTTAACAAAAATTTGGCTTCACTGGAAAGACACACTGACTGAGTGTTTTTTGTGACACACTAAACTGCAGAGTCACTTGTCAGTCAAGTGCGTAACTGTGTACAGTACTGTGACATCTTTTCCTCGGAGTTTGTGGTGAATCATGATTCAGTTTGAGCTTATCCACGCAAACTGGCTGCAGTGGTTCTTGTTTAGTTATGTAACAAACTGGAGACGTGACGTCCATCAATTCCTCTGTGCTGGAGGAGTTTTTCTTTTTCCCACGAAACACCAGCCAATATGTAAAAAGAGCTTTTGGCTGTAGGTTGAATCACGACAGAGCTGGAGCAGTTGGTGCGATAAAAAAAAAACAAAAAAACAATTAAGTGATTTTAGGTGTCACTACAAGTGTCCACAGACTCAGCTGTGGTATCTGGGTATATTACACACATCTGAATCCAGCCAGAGATCCAACATGACTGACACACGGAGGATGATTATAAAAACAGGAGCCTGGATATGAAACAGCCTCTCACTCTGTTTCAAGTCATCTTTCTTTCTAAAAATACCCTGATACTGAAACCGAAGGTGCGTCACTTTTCTTTGATGTGGTGGTTGCAAATGCTATAAATATCCTACCATCAATGAGAGTTTCGCTGTTGGAATCCGCTCTGTGTGGGAGGAGGTGTGTGTACCCTGTCCGTAATGTATTTGTGTGTATACATGTATTTTATGCATCACAAAAGACATGCAACTCAAGAACTGTGCACATATTCATTTAAAGGATTATACATTTTAGGATAGCTGTATTTGTTTCTTCCACAAAGGAAGTTCTGTTTTCACCTGTGTCGGTTTGTTTGTTATTTATTATTTATTTGCGGGATTACGCAACGAGTTCTGATACAGTTTGTACCAAACTTGGTGACAAGCCTTTAGATTTACTATGAATTTTAATCTTTTTTGTTTTTTATCTCTGAAGTCTGGTGTATGTTGTTTGACACTGGCCTTGGGGGAGGTACGCATACAGTACACTGGAAGAGTTATGGGTTGCTGTGATCGTTCCTCCTTTCCTTAGAGTATCTGAACTCATCCCTTCCTACTGTGATTCCAACGTACAGGATGTGGGAGAGTCCAAATCAAGTGTGTATCTTCCAACGATATTGTCTTTTTTTTTGTTGTTGCCTCAGAAACAGGTTTATTACAAACTCACATACAAGGAATTTGGAAAATGGTCAAAATATACAAAGTAAGAGAAAACTGAAAGGAGAGACAGGACAGGAAATGAGAGGACACAGATGGGGCTTGACACTACAGTAGTAAAGGTTGTCCAGCCTGTTGACCTTTGTTGCATGTTATTCCCCATATATATCTGTCATTTCTGTGCTTTCACTACCTAAAAAAGATATAAAACGGCCAGAGATAATAATAATAAGAAGAAGAAGGAGAAACAAACAAAAAACAAAGATCTCCAGCTGCACTTGAACCACAGATGATCCAGTTCATGGTTGCCGCCTTAAACCCTGAAGCCACTGGTTCCTGAAGTGAGTGCTGCAGCAAAGGCAAGGGGAAGGATTTCTTTCCCTTTATTTTTACTGCACATTTTAATAAAGTTTTACTGCATAAAAAACATTTACGTTCAAACGTATGAAATAGGGAAGACGTCAAGCAACAAAGGCTGAAATCGCCACATTAAAACACAGTTTAATGAAATGATGCTGCAGCTATGAATGAACATGAGTGAGAGAAACAGAGTAAGAAGAGTAAGTCCTCTCAAACATGTTATATCCATCTCCACTGTCCATTATATCCACTATGAATGTCCATGCAAATCATAATCATACAAAGTGTTGTACTAAAAACTTAAACTTAAACTTTGGCGGATGCACACTTGATGTGTCTAACTAAGCGTTGTATCACCCTCTGTTGAATTTAGGAATATATTTTGACTTGATTTGGATATGGATTTGTCCACCATCTTTAATCCTGGAGATCCAGTATGGAGAGGAGGAATGACCAGTAACTCTTTAACTGTACATACGGCCACGAGAGTGTTGTTAAAAAAAACAAAAAACATCCTGTAACTTTCAAATGAGGGTTTTCCTGTTTGTTTCCACCTACTGCACTAGTAGCCGTTTGTTTCAGTATCACTATAACTAAATGTGCCGTGAACCACTTCACGTATGAATCACATGTTGTGCACACTAAGATTTAGGTTTAGATTACCAAAGGTCTCAGGAATGTAAGCAGATGCAGACGGTCCACATGGGGCCGTGGAGATATCACTGATAACACCTGTGTTACCTGCAGAATTCACAGAGGAAAGATCATCCCTCCGCTGATGATTCTTCTTTACAACATGCCTGATCTGCTCCTCAGTGCCTGGCAACAGATTCGAGATGTTTTTGCCCTGCAGTAGTTCTTGAATAAATCAATGTGTTTGTTTACAACCGGCTTGTAAGCAACAAGGAATGCCACTTTCAGCAATTACACCAAGAAGCCAAATGTACACAAGCCTCGGAGAGAAAACAGAGAACAGAGACAGTTTTATGAGCTGTTTTTAGACAGGGGGGGCGGGGGGTCTCGTGGCCATGTGGTTTCAATTATAAACTACACTTAATACCTTAAATATTTGAATCTATTGGGGGAAAAGGGGGAGAAGATGATGAAAACTGTGGACTGGTGATAAACGTGTGAGGTGTGTTTTCTTCAAACTGAAAAATCTTTCTTTTAAAAGTTTCATCTGGGTCGAAGAGCTCGAGGAGAATGAGAGTCATGTAATTTTTCATTGAAAAGCAGTTAATTTTTCAGTTTAATTCAAAGAGAAAAAGCCATAGTAAAAGGTTTTTTCGTCATTAGAACAACTCACCATCATAAACCTCAGAGCACTGTCTTGTTGCCAAGAACATGCCGTTGATACACTGACTCATAAATCAACCCAATTTAAACATTTGGTCTCTGTTGTGTCATGGTCAGGCAATCCTGGCAGAGTGCCGACATAATCAGACTTGTGTGTTTGTCTTTGTTCGTAGGTCCAGATGGATGCGTTTTGCAGCGATCTCAGCCTCAGAAGTGCACCGCCCAACCTTCCCCATGGCGTCCAAATGCTGGACCTTTCTCGTAACCAGGTGCAAAACCTCACCCAGGAAACTCTAGCGTACCACACCGGCTTCCATCATCTGAATCTTCGCTCTAACAAGATCCACTTCATCCAGCCGGGGCTCTTCAAAGACATGACTGATCTAAGAGTTCTCGATCTGTCCAGGAATCACCTGAATGTTTTTGCTCTTTCCAAAATCAACATCGGGCCTCTTACAGCTGTAGAGTCACTTGATCTTTCAAGCAATGGGCTGTACACAGGGATGTCAGACTATTTCCTGGCTGATTCTCCGTCACTGGCGAACCTTTCTCTGAGCAGCAACAGCATCACTAAAATAGCACAAGATACGTTCAGTGGATCCTGGTCCTTGAAAAAAATCAGCCTCCACAATAACGTAATCTTGGAGATTGAAGATGGCGCTTTTGACTCCTTGCATAATCTGACCGAACTCGATCTGTCCAAGAATTCAATCACGTGCATCACAGACTTCAACCTCTATAATTTAAAAGTGCTCAATCTCAGCAAGAACAGCATGGAGCTTTTCCAAAGCGTCGGCTCAGCTCAGTCGTATCAGCTTCTCTCTCTTGATCTGAGTGAAAACAAAATGCCTTACTTTCCATTTCTGCCCAGACAGAACGTGCTTGAGTATCTGGATGTTTCACGAAACCACCTTCGGAGCATCAACGTCTCAGCAAGTTCTGAGAGAAGGACATTTTTAAATCACCTTAGATACCTGGACATGAGTTACAACCAACTCAAAAGCATACCAGAGTCCTTTTTCTGCTTCATGGGATCACTCGAGGTCCTGAATGTGAGTAATAACTGTATTGGCTCGTTTTCTATCACTAACGAAGGTCTTCTACCGAAAGTGAAGATTATCAATCTCAGCTATAACTCACTGCAGAGTCTCACATTTAATGAAAACATTCTGCAGTCGCTGGAAAAGCTCTTCTTACAGGGAAACGACCTCACCACCTTGGACCATCAAGTATTTCAAAGACTTCCAAGTATCAGATACCTGCAGCTCCAGCAGAACAACCTGAAAATCTGCGCCTCGGAGCAGAAGCAGCAAGAAGCAGCGCTGACAGACCAAAACCACCAGCATCCTCCCGGTTGTGTGTCCTTTTCTTCTGTTCATAGCTTGCGCTTCCTGTACCTGTCTGAAAACAATCTTCAGACTCTGCCTGCGAACGCATTTGCCAACACCTCTCTGAAGTTACTGGACTTGTCCCTGAACCCAGGCTTGGACATGGACAAAGACTCCCTCTCCGGTCTCGAGCACTCCCTGGTTCACCTCCTCCTGAGGGAAAACAACATTTCCAGGCTAAACACAGATCTGTCCTTGCTGAAGAGTCTCAAAAACGTTGACCTGTCCACCAACCAGTTGACCTCTCTACCTATGTGGGACAAAGAGTCCTCCATTGAGTCCTTAAACCTGCAGAACAACAACCTGGTCACCGTGGAGTACAGCACCATGCTCGCTCTGGAGCGCTCACTAAAAACCCTCTACATGGGCTCCAACCCTCTGAACTGCTGCACCAACCTCGGCTTCCTCCATGTGGTGCAGCGCTCAGCCGTGGTCGTTCCCGACATCGAGACCGTGACCTGCGTTCACGAGGACTTTTCACAGCCGGTCAACATTGAGAAGCTGACTGAGGGAATGTGTCAAGGATCGGGAACCCCGATGTATATTTCCATTGTACTGGTATTGTTAGCTGTGATGATCATGTTGGGGCTGCTGGCTAGATATTGTCACTTGAGGAAACGAAAGCGCAACAGAAGCTTTAGGGCGTAACATGAATGAACAGTACAGTGCACAAACAGGACCATGAAGAATTTATATATGGAACATGAGAGGGTTGGTGGTTTTTAACCAGATACACGAATGTAGTGTCTGTGGTGTCATCTGAAGGACAATTTGAAGCCTTGATTTGGGTTTACCATCTTTTTTTTTACTAGAGTGAACACATCCAGATTTCGGCAACGTGGAAGAAGCTGAGTTGGTGGTTCACTGATGGGCTGAGACACCTGTCAATCAAACAAACACGTGCCTTAATATCCTACTCAAAGCAATGGCTCGGAAGAAGAAGTGAAATGGACGAACTATTGAAACCAGAACTTCTGGAAAATATAATCACCTTGTTTTCTAAAGAGAAGTTTGGACTTTTTGGATGGACTTCTAAATGTCAGAGTTTCTTGCAGCATCTTGTGACTGTTTGAGAAACTGCAGCTTTGGATTCTTATGGTGTGTTCAGACAGAACATGAAAGCCAAATTTAAGAGGGGTTATTGCAAATATGAGTCTACGTTACCAATGTACAAAGACCAGAAGAAAAAGGAGAGCAACTGGAGGGAAATAACGGGAGTTTCTGGTGAGTTCAGAGATCAGTAAGAGGGAGTTATCTAAATACTGTGGTCACAGTGGGTCCAGTATTCAAAGTCCTGCAAATGAAGCGAGGCGAAAATTACTTTTGCTTTCTGTCTGAACACACCATTATGACAGTGTTTCATGCTTGGTTTTAATATCAAGCTGCATGCTGCACATGAGTTTATTGAATGTAAGGGGAAAATCTGCAGTAAAAAAACCTCATCACTGTTGAACATTCAGCCTTAATGAAATGTTACTCACTTACTTTCAACTTTATTTGTCCCTGGAGGGCAATCAGTTTTGTTAAAGTTATAGTTTGACTTTTTGGGAATTCCTCTCATTTGTTGAAAGTTAGATGAGAAGATCAGATGAAGATTGGTATCCCATGTCTGTAATGTAAATATGAAGCTACAGCCAGCAGCCAGTTAGCTTAGCTTAGCTTAGCTTAGCATAAAGACCATAAACATGGGGACATAGAAAACCTGGCTCTGTCCAAAGGGAATAAAATCCTTCTTCCACCACCTCAGTCAAACAGTCAAACACATGACATATCATGTAACTCGTACAACAAAACCAAAGTAAAAACAAGTTGTGGTTTTATTGGGGAGGGGGGGTCATGTGTCTGACTGTTTGTTGGCCACATGCAGTAACTTCAGGAAGCCGCAAAAAAAAAAACAAGCAAAATATAATTTGTTCATTTATGATGTTGAACTTTACAGTCAACACCTTAAACCTAGGACCCCATTGCTCATATTAAGAGGCTAGTTAAGACAGTGTATCTATTTTGGGTGAACTGACCCTTTAAAAAGAATCACGATTTATAATTAATCCGTACAAAAAGTGTTGATGAAATCAAGGTATAATGTGTTAATTAGTGGGCTTCAGAGGTTCTGGTACAGTGGGAGGATTTTGTTACTTTGGACCATGCCAGTCTTTATGCTAAGCTAAGCTAATCATCTCATATTTACCATGCATGTGAGTGTGGTGTCGATCTTCTCGTCTAATTCTCAGCAGGAGTATAAATAAGTTTATTTTCCAAAATGTTCAACTATTCCATTAAAGGTTGAATGAGGGGCTTTTAAGAAACAGAATACATCAGTGACAGATGAAGATAAAACTGACTGAAGGAGGGGTGGGTGGGGGTTCAGATAACAAACAGTGTAAGATTATCTGAGAGTGGAATTTTCCTTTAAGCTAAAACTAAAGTACACAGCACTACGAAAGGTCATGAAACAAAATGTTCTTTATTCTTGGATGATGAAGTGTGATTAGAAGATGAAGTAGAAGCAGACTGAGAGTCATCTGAGATGACGCCGCAAAAAAGTCTATTTTTAAAAGCAATACAAACCGTCCTTTACCCTTCATGTAGTTTGCACTTTATATTTCCCTTTATTTGTGTGACTGTATCTTGTTCTTAACACTAAGAAATGAATACTGCTAGAAGACCAAGCAGAGCATATGTTGATATAATTTATTATTTTTTTACTATAATAAAGATTAAGCTGGACATTTTAAACATTATGTTTTCTGTACTGATCCCAGGTCTGTGCGGCTCCCCCCTTGACACAATATTGATGAATTTGACATGAACATGTTTATATACCCTTCATGGGTGAAGTTAAAAGCTGGCCTGAGCACTGAAATTAATAACTGTGATACTCCGACATAGAAGTACAATATATATACTGTATTGTTTTATCATAAACCAATGAATATGAACTCCAGCGCTGTATTGTAGTGGGCTACACTGGGATCCACAGTTTCATACGATTTTAACGTGCCTGATCCTAAAACTATTATTGTTATTATTTTTATTATTATTTTTTATCTGCAAGTCAATTTAAGTGATTTGTAACTTTTCACGTCCTGTGAGCGATATTTTGTACCAAATGAAAGACTTTTCTACACTTAAACATTGTGTGAGAAATTATTTGTGTGACAAACAACATGTAAACCTCTGAACACTGTAGTGACACCAGCACAGGGTATAGGTTTAAACGCACATTATAGTAATATTTTACTTTACGTTTTGTGCTCTCTTGCTAAGAGTTAGATGAGAAGACTGACACCACCCACATATATAATACATTTGTAGCTAATCAGAGGAAACAGCTTCCCTGGCTCCGTCCAAACATAAGAAAATCCTCAAAAAATCCTCATTTTTTATCATCGTCATATTTAGATCGGTTTTCTCATCGAACTCTCACCGAGAAAGAAAACTAATGCATTTCCCAACATGTTGACCTGTTGTCGAGTGCACGAAAACACTTAACACAGGATTTAAGAGGTTTCTGAGAAAAGAAGATGAAGACATGACATTAAATTGAATGTCATTTTCTAATTCTTGCCCCTTGATTATTGAACAAATGTTTTGTCTGCCTCTATGTTTATTTTATATATGATTTTATTCTCTTACTGATAATGCACCATCTTCATCTATGGTTAATAAATTATTTATTAATGCTTTATAGATCAGTTATAAGATATTAGTAAGAGCAACTACTGGGTTGCCAGATTGTGGACAAATCCTCCTCCAGCACAAACACTTGGATTGTCTGTTTAGATTTGTTTGAGCTGGTTTGACGACTGAGCTGCAGGAAATCTGAGCCAAAATCCATTTATACAAAATATATAATATAATAATATAACAACTTTTTTTAACATTTACAACAAAATCTGAAGATAATGCTATGATATAAAACACATCTTCACATTTGAGAAGCAGACGCTGATTAATATTTAGTGTTTTTGCTTAAAGAAACAACTTAAAACAATTAATTACAGATTCAATCTGTCAATTCACTAATTAGTGAACACGCCGATGTAAGTGGAACACTATAATGATCATAATGATAATAATATAGAGTATTTCTTCATAGAAGCGGTTATAATTGCTGACAAATGCTGTGTGTTAATAAAAACACTTAAATATATTCAAAAATAAAAATGCTTACAACTACATTGTAGTATCTTATATTTATTAAATGTCGGTTACTGCTTGTGAAGGCTGATTAACTACGACACGTGCTTGGAAAAAAGCCTGAGTGTCACAGCTCAGTTCCACATGCAAGGATAAGCAATGCAAATTTTGACTGATACAGTGTCATATTCAGGACATGCAAAACTGATAAAGATCGGGATTCCCGATTCCTCACCCCTAAACTAAGCTCACCAGCTGCTGGCTGTAGCTTCACGTTTAACAGTGGTGAAAGACGTATTGAGATGTTTTATTCAAGTAACAGTAGAAAAAGTAATTTATAGATTTCTACCTACAGGTGCCCAGCTTTAATACTGGTTAAGAAATCAAGAAAATGGCCCCATATTGTTAAAATACCAAGGAAAGTCATTTGTTATCGTTTATCAAAAATGATCAGAAACTAGTTTGGAAAACTGATTAATTGTTTGAGTCATTCAGGAAAAAAAAAAAGCCAAAATAGTTCTGTTTCCAGCTTCTGAAAGATGAAATTTCTGGTTTTCATAGTCGTCTGTTACAGTAAACTCACCGACTGGATGGTTAGTCGGCTAAAACAAGACATTTGAAGACAGCACTTGGACTCTCTACTCTGTTTTCAGATATTTTACAGACTAAAAACTTCTATCTGTTGAACTTCACTATCCAGAAATTCTGTCAGATTGTCATTAAACTACTCAGAGCACACTGATGCTCATATAACAACATGTCAACAGATGGTGACAGATGGTGCTCTACTCTGTTGTACTTTCACTTCGTAACGGTGCATTCGTGTGGCCTCTGTGAAGTGGGAAATTTCTAATCTTACCACCATAAATTTGTCTCAAACTGTCAACAAAGTGGTGAATTCCCGAGGTAATTGTGGCCAAAGTTTATGGTACAAAATTTCACTTTAACAGGTGGTGAACATGGCAGTCTACCAGGTTATTAATAATTATATCTTCATATAACTTCCCCTTTTCTGTCATAATGTGTGTAAATGTATCAGTCAGCATAGGCAGAGCTACTCATACTGGCTGGTAACAAGAGCAAACATTTTAGGTAATACTTGAACTCTGTTGTTTGCGTTTTACATGTATATAATTATCACTGACCGATGACCATCCGAATGCAAACAGGTTAAAAATATGCAGTCATGTTATAGAAGAGGAGAGAATGGGCATAGTTCAGGCTGACAATTTGGGTGTATGGTTGTATAATTCAGGAAATATGCTTCTTTGCTCTCTGGAGTCTTATCATCTCGGTGAAGGCTGTTCTGCAACCAGCAGACTCCAGAGAGTCACTGCACCCAGCCAAGAAATAGTCTGATAATTAGTGAGATTTGGAGGTAGATGGATTTTGCTGTGTTGGAAGATGTATCTGGATCATTCACAGTAACATTAGAACTGTGCAAGAGTTTAGACGTTTCGATGTTTATCCATCAGGGAGGTGTCTGATCTCTTTCCAAATTCATTCCGGAGCACAGCCAGAGATATGAAGAAGTATCTTCAGAGACGAGAAGAACGAGGAGGCCTGCAGCAGATGGTCTGGCCTCCACAGAGTCTTGATTTCAACATCATGGAGTCAGTCTGGGATCACATGAATGACTGAATGAGACAGTTCACCTAAAATACAATAAGGCTTCTGTTCCATGCTTAGAAATTAGCTTTGAGCAGGGTCTGTGAAACTACCTGAACACACACACAGCACATTTGTTGAATGTTGTGTGAACTGAGCCCTTAAAGTCCACATGGTGTTGTTACATTTGATCAAACTCTTTCATCCAGCGCTGAGGCTTTTAATTTGATAGTTCTGACCTGAGCGCTGGTCGCCTGCTTTCCCCCCGTGTTTACGTTTGGATTAAGGCTTTAAGGTTGAGAAAATGCTGCTCAGCATGAGAAGCTTTATCTTCACTGTTTAACGAAAGCTTTTTATACTCAGTGAGTCAGACCCTCCATCCCCTCCTCCTCCTCCTCCTCCTCCTCCTCCTCCCGCTCCCCTCACAGTCAGTGGAGCTAATTGACTGTCCTGGGTGGTACAGGAAGTTGTCGACGGGACGTCCTGTTTGACATCAAAGGGGAAAAAGCCTCTTTATCACTGTCAAGACAGAACGAGGAATCTCACGGATGCTTGGCAAAATATTCACTTAGAAATGGGCTTTTGTCTCAATAATGAAGCAATGCAGTCGTCTTCTTTATTTTTTAACATGTCACTTGGTGTTTGTGTTTAACTTAAATCCTGCCCCCGAAGCTCACTGTGAAGCTCTTTAAACACAGTGAAGTGTTCGGTTAAGTTAAGCAGATCCTGTCAAACTTGACTTTTCAAGAAGCTCCTCCATGCTGTTAAGCACGTATTTGCTTGAATTATAAATATATATCTTTGCCTATTTTTGTTCGGATGTAGTTTAGGCTGGGGTGAACTCCATAAATAAATACATAAAACATTATCTTAAGACAATGAATCATTAAAAGACAACCAGCTTCTGTCTTTCGCAAAAAAAATTAACTGCAGTCTTTGGATTTATAATTGAGAATTTGTTTATTTAACCTTCGCTCTATGGAGTTTGTAGTTAGCGGAAACCCCAGAGGTACTCTACACCATTTTTTTTTTAATCTAGAATCTGAAACTGATTCCTACGTCAGATAAGTACAATCAAATGTCTAGACTGTGTTTATGTTGGTGAAAATTATGTCTGCTTAAACTGCTTTAATTAACAAGTGCAGTT